TGCCTGTCCTGCTGCCGGCGTCCTCAGAGACTTTGCTCCCCGTCTCCCTGGTCTGCTGGTCTCCAGCAGACCAGGGAGACGCAGAGCAAACCCCGTTCGTAACTGTGGATCCGACATAAGTCGGATCCGCGTAACTCGGGGACTGCCTGTACTTAGATTTCGAGAAAGCCTTTGACAAGGTCCCTCACTAAAGGCTCTTGTGTAAATTAGGTTGTCATGGGATAAGAGGGAAGATCTTTTCATGGATTGAGAACTGGCTAAAAGACAGAAAGCCAAGGGTAGGAATAAATGGCAAATTTTCGCATACACAGGTCAGGGGTCAGGAAGGAATTATCTCTTGCATAGGATAGTATTGCACAAGCATGTGCATTAGGTGTTTGGATGGGGTAAAGGGTAAAAAAAAAAAAACCTTCTTCCGAAGCATTCAGCATTGATCGCAGGATCCTAGTTTACAGAGAGTTTTGGTCTGTTCCAGCATGGCAGTCCTAAAAACAGACACAGCTGGCTCCATCCCTCTCCCTTCCTCCCCCCTCCTCCCACAAAGACCCAGACAATGGGAGTTCTGGAGGAAGCAAGCACACCATGGCATAACACAACTGGCCTGCTGTGCCTCACTGTTCCAGTGTCCGAAACTCCAGCGTTCATTAACACACCAGTTAATGTTCTGCCTCGGAGGCGTATAAGTGTTGTGCTTATTAGCACCACCTAGAAAAGTCTAAGGCTTTAATATAGTTTGCGAGAGGATTAAGAACACAAAAGGGGCCATAAATTTACAACCAAATACAAACCAGCTGCTGTGGGCAGGGGCAAAGGGAGGCAGTGGAGGGGGGGGGGGGGAACTAAAATGATTAGGGGTTTGAAATGGGTCCCATATGAGGAGAGGCTAAAAAGACTGGGACTTTTCAGTTTAGAAAAGAGGAGACTGAGGGGGGATATGATAGAGGTCTATAAAATCATGAGTGGAGTGGAGACGAGGAATAAGTAAAAGTTATTTACTTGTTCCTATAAGAACTAGGGGCTACCAAATGAAACTAATGGGCAGCAGGTTTAAAACTTAATAAAAGGAAGTTCTTCTTCACACAGCGCACAGTCAGCCTGTGGTACTCCTTGCCAGAGGAGACTGTGAAGGCTAGGACAGTAACAAAGTTTTAAAAAACGCTAGATAAATTCATGGAGTCTTGGTCCATAAAAGGCTATTAGCCAGAGGAATGGTACCCCTGGCCTCTCTTTGTCAAAGGCTGGAGAAGGATGGCAGGAGACAAATTGCTTGATTATTGTCTTCAGTCCACCCCCTCTGGGGCAGCTGGCACTGGCCACTGTTGGCAGACAGGATACTGGGCTAGATGGACCTTTGGTCTGACCCAGTATGGCCATTTTTATGTTCTTATGTTTATGTTTAATTGCCTTCTTTTCCTGCCCAGGCTTGACTGCACAGGCTAAGTCCAGTTGTGGAAAACATGTCTTTTCAAAGAAGGTTCTTGATTTCTTTACTTATTAATATTTTTGATATCTTAGTATTACC